GCCGCTCAGCTGGAAGCCGAAAAGGCTGCATCGCAGCTCAAGGCGCAGCAAAAGAAGGACAAGGGCCTGTTTTCGCGCAAGAAGAAGGGAGGCAAAGCGCAGCTCGACATCGATGCATCGATGGCGGAAAGCAGTGTCAGCCTAGCCTCGGCGTCTGCGGTCAGCACGCGCAACGGGGTTGGTACTACGACTGGGGCCGGGGAACACACCCACAAGACTGGCTCCGGCCTCGCATCGCAAAGCGACATGCAAGAAGACAGTGAACCGCCAGAAGGAAGCCGCACCCCCATCGAGCCACCTACGCTTGCGCTGCAGCTGGACGAGGATGAAGAGGCAGCGGATGAGGACGGGAACGGTCGACGCACGCCGGGATTGCTCAAGGGAGAGGAGAAGGCGGCACAGGAGTGGCTGGTGGTGTCGCAGCCCGGTTCAGTGCAGGCCAGTGACGTTGAGGATAGCGACGACGACGTGCCTCTGGCGCAGGTGAAGAAGAACGTGGCCTCGCGACCGGTTTCTTTTGCCTCGGGCCTGGCGCTGAATGGCAAGCCTCCTGGCGGTCGGGACGACTCGTCGGACGAGGAACTTCCGCTGGCAGCGCTTAAGGAGAAGCGAGCTCGGCAGTCTATAATGACCTTGGGCAGCGGTCGACTAGACCTCGACTTTTCCTTGTTGCAGAGCCAGCAGCAGAATGGCAACGGTCAGACTTCAAGGTTGCCTGCTGATGCTCAAGCGCGTTCTCCGGCACGCTCGCCACTTGGCAGTACCCTCTCTGGAAACAGCAGTTGGGGCCGGGCGGCCGGACAGTACATGCTACAGCACCCTCAGTTGGCTGCTCTTGGCTCACCGCTGTCGAGGGAGTTGTCGTCGCACGAGCAGCAACAGCAGCAGTCTCATAAGGCTGGTCCCAATGACAGCGACTCCGAGGACGATCTTCCGCTCGGCCAACGCCACCCTGACGCTACCGTCGCGCTGGCAAGTGTGCGAGCGGCTCTGGAGGAAAAGAAGAAGGCGGCCAAGCTTGCCAAGAAGGCCAAGAAGGCCGAGCAGAGGAGGGCGGCCAAGGCTCAGCGATTGTCCGGCAAGGTCGACCCGGTGGATCGCGCAGCTGGCGAAGACGCTGCGGGTCAGACGGACAATGTGGATGGCGGGTCAGCCCAAGCCAATGGACACAAGAACGACGCCAACAACGGCGCAGAACGGGAAGATGATGACGAGAAAGAAGAAGGAGACAGTGGCAGTGGCACTGGCAGTGACAGTGACAGCGAGGACGACAAACCACTGGGCTTTGCGCATCCGCAGGCAGCGATTATTGCGGAGCAGGCCGCGCTAATCCGACAGCTTCAGGCGCAGCAGGAGCGCAATGGGGCTCAGGGACAATCACCTGCCGGATCGGCCATTCCCTCACCGCAACCGGGATCCGGCGCCGTCGGGTCGAGCTTCTTCAACAGCATGACGATGGGCGGCGGCATGGCCAGTGGAGGCGCCACTGCAGGTCTACCAATGGGCATGGGCATGGGCATGGGAATGGGAATGGGAATGGGCATGGATGGTCGTCATTCTGTGCTGGGTATGCCCATGACGGGCGGCTCGATGATGGGACTGGGCCAGTACGACGGTCTGCCATCGCAGCAGATGGGTCTGCCGATGTCGATGTCGTCGCCGATGGCATTTGGGTCACCGATGGGGATGAGCCCGGGACCGGCGGGTGGAGCGCCGCCTGCGGGAAGCCAGCTCGGATTCGGTGATATGAATGGCGGTGGAGTAAACATGACGATGCCAATGACGATGCCGATGACGATGCCAATGCCGATGCCGATGAGCACGATGGGCATGGTGCCTGGGGTCAGTGCACCCATGACGCCGAATCCCGTGTCGCTACTGATCGACCCGAAGGCATCGTCGATCCACAACTGGCGTACCCAGGTGCCAGCTGATGCTACCGCTACCGCTACCGTCACCCCGCCTGGTGGCACCTCGACGATCAACTCTTCGGGTTGAGCGTGCTTGTGTGTTTCGAATTGGCCGGCCACAGGCGTCTTTATCCGACACTTTGCAACATTCATCATTATTCTCGTTGAGCACGCACGGCATTCCTTTATTGTTATTCACTGAATATATACGGACACTAGTGTGTTTTCTTTATCTAGATGCCTGCGTGTCGGTGGGTCTTGACGGGCGCGATTCTCTTTGAAGGATAGGTCGTTGTATTTCGTTGATCTAACAGTTATCAATTATATTATTTTTCGATATATATATTAGATAAATGATTATTGGGCGAGAATGTTCGCGACTCGACTGGAAGCGCAATGCCGAATGTGGAGGAATGCAACCGAACCCGAACACAAGTACACAACTACTGTACTGAACTGTAGTACAGGTACAGGTACAGTATGTACATCCGCACTTGGGCACTCCAGTAGCACCACACTCGCATCTGCGCGTTACCGCCCAACCCGCTCGCTCCCATCACATCCATCCACCGAGTGACCGAGTGACTAGAGTGACCAGAGTGACTACAGCACTACGGTGTGAGAAGTGAGAATCGACTGCAGTGCCTTTAGGATAAGGTTGACTCGCATCCGTGCACAGTGATGTATGACGCTGGTTTCTCTTTTTAGGCCTTTCAACGTACTACAGTACTTTAACGCAACGCTTGAATTGTAGCAACTCAGTAAAGGGACTACAGTAGTTCTTACTACGCCCAGTACTTAGTACATACTAGTACAGTATCCGCATCGCCCTTGCTCTTTCCAGCTCTCAACTTACCCTACATCGATCGACATCCGCAACACTACTTATCACCACAACACACCACGCAACAGCATCGCTTCGTCACGCAAACACAAACACACATTCACACACACACACACACACACACACACACACACACACACACACACACACGAACACACACATATACACACACACCCGAACACACACCCGAACACACACCCGAACACACACCAAAAAAAGCGTCCAAAGTGAACGCCCTTGTTACAGCGTCTAGCCCATCATTCCGGTCAAACGTCCTGCATCGTCATTTGCCAGCTCGCCATCCTATACCCATACCGACCGCAAACACTCTTCGCACAAGCCGCATTCATACAGCAAAAAGCAAAAGGCATCGCCTCCAGCGCCTGTCATGGGTAAAGACTACTACAAGATTCTCGGCGTCGGCAAGGATGCCGACGAAGACGCACTCAAAAAGGCATACAAGAAGGCGGCGCTAAAATGGCATCCCGACCGCAACAAGGACAACGTCGAGGCGGCCAACGTCAAGTTCAAAGAGGTTGGCGAGGCCTTCGAGGTGCTGTCCGACAAGAATAAGCGTGCCATCTACGACCAGTTTGGTGAAGAGGGTCTCAAGGCAGGTCCACCACCCGGTGCCGACGGTGCCGGTGGTCCCTCTGGAGGATTCGGCGGCTTCCCAGGAGGCGGTGCTAGCTTTGGCGGTTTCCCAGGAGGCGGCGGAAGGACCTTTACCTTCACCTCGGGCGGTCCAGGTGGCATGGGTGGAATGGGAGGCGGTTTCTCACCCTCGGATCCCAACGACATCTTTGCAAGCATCTTTGGCGGCGCTTCTCCGTTTGCCAGTATGGGCGGAATGGGCGGCATGGGAGGAATGGGCGGAATGGGCGGAATGCCCATGGACGAAGACATGTTTGGCGGTGGCGGTGGCGGTGGTGCACGTCGAAAGCCCGGTGGTGCTGGCGGCGGCATGCCCGGCGGCTTCAACTTTGGCGGCGGCGGAATGCCGAGCGCCGCGGGAGCAGGCGTTCCACCACACCAAGCCCAGGCCGACAAGCCAAGCGACGTAGAGCGCCAGCTCCCGCTCTCGCTCAAGGAACTCTACACGGGCACGACGAAACGGCTCAAGGTCGGCCGCAAGCTGGCCTCGGGTGGTACTGAGGAAAAGGTGCATACCATCGAGGTCAAGCCTGGCTGGAAGAAGGGCACCAAGATCCGGTTCAGTGGTGCTGGCCACGAGGTCTCGCCGGGTCAGTTCCAAGACCTTGTCTTTATCGTCGATGAAAAGAAGCCCACCGGGGGGGCGGAAACGGACAGGTTTGAGCGCAGCGGAGACGACCTGCATGTGACGCTGTCGATTCCCCTCTTGGACGCCCTCGACCCGCCCAAGCCCGGATCAGCCGCAAGCCGGAAAAAGCTCACCACGCTCGATGGCCGCGCGATCGAGATCCCGATCCCACAGCCGCCGCACGGCAAATCCACCATACAACCAGGCCAGACCACCAAACTCGCCAACGAGGGCATGCCCATCTCAAAATCGGCAGGCAAGAACAAGGGCGACCTCGTAGTCACCTGGTCCGTCTCTTTGCCCGACTCGCTCACGGCTTCCCAGAAAGAAGGGCTGCGTAAGATCCTCGCGCCCTACTGATGCCCATACTTTTTTTCACTACTCCCTCCTCCCCGCCGTTCACATTCCGGCGTCAACGCACTACCTCGGTTCTCGGTCTTCGGTCCTGGATCCTCGATCCTCGGTCCACTCTGTCTGTTGAAAAAGGTGACGTGTCTAGTCACTCCTTTAACCCCTCTCTCGTCCCCTCGTCCCGCATAGTCCTTGTATCGTATTGCTCGCACATTTGCAAATCTCTTGAATCTTGAATCACGCTGTCACAGGCAAATTATTTCTACTACTCTTGTTCCGAGATCGCCTGGGGTTTTGGATTCTGATCTGTGGCTAGAGCAGCAAGTGTTTGCGAATGCCACTATTACACCTTTTCCTCTGGGCATGAGCTTTCGTGAAGCCGTTAGTGTTGGTTGTCGGTTGTACTCCCGAAAAAAAACGTAGGTGAATGACATCACGGCTGTCTGTCTGTCATTCCACACTACAGTAGTCGGCATGACACTGACGAGTTGTGGCAACCCGAGTAACTCATTGTGAGAAGAACAAGCAAAAGAAAACCATTACTTCTCCCGCCCAAGTTGAGCGGACCGCCTGTTTTAGTGTACAGAGAGAAAAAGACCAAAAGAAAGAAAAATGATTTCAGCCGGGTTCGAACCGGCGACCTCCTCCGAACTTAACCAGGAACTGCAGAGTTACTTGTTAAGGAGACGCGCTAACCAACTGCGCCATGAAACCTTGATGTAACAGCGAGGACAGTCTGTTATTATGAATGCTATCTATTGCCAAAGGAAGGAGGGTGAGAAAGAGGGGGTGATGAATCGATCCAGCATTATCTGTGGTGATCATCGAAGGGAAGCTGTCGACATGGACCTTTGAGAAAAGTTGCGTGCCTGTTGTTTCGGACGATACACACGGAGCTGGTTGTGGCATCCACTGCCCTGTCGTGTAGCGAAAGGAGGACTGCCGTCGTGTCACGGCAAAACAGCATAGCGAGGGCTGCCCGAGGTAAGTCGATCTGACATTTTGTTCTTGAAAACAAAGCTTGCATTGTGGTGTTTTGTGTGCTCCATGCCCACGTACTGTATCTAGGGAAAAGAGGGCGTGAGGAAGAAGGACAAAAAAAAACGATATCACTCCCAATAGGGGGCTCGAACCCCTGACATTCAGATTTGCATTCGAGACAATCTCGAAGACTTTGCTCGACTGCACGTGTGCGCAGTATCGAACTGTATTAAAAGTCTGACGCTCTACCGACTGAGCTAATCGGGACGGAGTGCTTGCCCATCCTGACATTAATGCTGCAATATAAGGCTCACATCTTCAGTCCATCTCTTACCTCTCTGTCAGTGTCGGTTGTCGGCGGAATGCACTGCTTGCCTGGACGTTGCTCCGCACACACACTTCACACTCCTCACTCTGGTCAGAAGGGTTCTCTAGCAGCATATGATACGGAGTACCTGCAGTCTGCGTTGTGAGCGCCAGACCTTCCATCTGATGATCCAGAGATGAGACGTTCACAGCGCGCAAATCGTTCGGGCGGCGGACATAGCTTATCTTTTTTTTTTATCTGCTCGGCTAGAGTTCCCACGCACAGTGTTCCCTGCAAGGGTGTAGCATATGGGCCATCATTGCTTCGCTGTTGCTATCATCTCGACATCGGATTCGAATCCGCGGACTTGGGCTATACTGAAGTTCCCACTCATCTGATCGAAGCTGGGTTCACTGTCCCGTTCTCTCCGAACACGAGCCTTCTCGCAGCGGCACGGCTCAAAGTTCAGACAGCAGGAGTGTGGGAATCAGAGGGAATCAGAGTGGACATGTATAGAGAGGGCAAAATGCAAGGACACGAAAAAGACAAATAGACGCCGAAGTTGGCAACCAAAAAACCTAGAAACAATCACAAGGGTCTGTGATACGCGGTTCTGCGAGCAGCCAAGGTGACATGTACAGCACCGAGCAGGCTGATGCATGGGGAGTGGCGAGGGTCAAGGGGCAAAGCGCGATGGGACCTAGGCCTTCTGCTGCTGCTGTTTGAGCTGCAGATTTCGGTGGAGTTCGGTCTGAACGTTGACGACACGGTCGAGGAGCTTGTCGATGACGGCCTCGCGGTTGGACTCAAAGGCCTTGTTGAGCTCGTCGAGCTTCTCTTCCGTCTCCTTGTCGACCGCGGTCTGCGATGTCGACGACGATCCCTCATTCTGCCAGAATGCGCCCATCGGCAATCGCATCCACGAGTGTGTGTGAAGAAGAGATAGTGGAGCAGGTCAGCTTTACCTCTGCTCGTCGGTGGTGATCACCTGGACATGGAGAAGCTACGCACGTCTTTTTGGAACTGCTCAAACTCCTTCTCCTTCTTTGCCTTTAGGTCTTCGATCTCCTTGTTGGCCTCGCTACGGGCATCCTTGAGCTTTTGCGTACGGTCTGCGACGAGAACCGATAATTGCCGACGAGAAGAAAAAAAGCGCGCGCGCGAGAGAGAGAGAGAGGCGTCAGTGTACTTTGTAACGCTTCGTTCTGCTGCCCATGTGCAGTCTGTGCATGTAGAGAGCGGGCACTACAACATACAGGTGCGAGCCTTTTGGACGATCTTGGCAGCTTCCTTCTCAGCTTCCAAGAGGGTCTGGATACCTTGCGATTGTTGGGCAGCCTGTAGAAAGCGTCGCGGAGCAAGGTGGCAGGGGGTAACACGCGCAAGTCAGCATTGCACCGAGAACATGTGCTCTCGATTGCCATTCTTCGGGATGACAGTGCTTGATCGCTCAGCATGCGCTTCTGAGCTGGGCAGACGAGCAACACGAGCAGGGTGAGAATATCCGACGTACCATTGTGGTCGATTCGCGGGAGGGGCCGACAGTCGTTGAATGTGCCGAGGTGTTGATCGATCGGATGTGCCGGCGAGTCGAGCGGAGCTGTTCCAAAAGCAGACCTGTAGGGCGAGAGTGTGATGATAACAAGTTGCGGAAGGTGATAGCAGCGACGGGTTGAGGCTGATATCCAAAAGTAAGACAGGTCTGGCAAAGCGGCGATGGTGCTGCAGCCAACACACAGAGGGTGGACGGACGGGAAACTGATGATTATATTGCGTGCAGCGTCTGCCCCCTTTCGAGAGACCGTGCGCACATAGCTGCACCAGCCTAACACAAGGTCTAATCAACTTCAACAACACGTTCATAGATGTCTAACAGGCTACTGTATACGAAGCTAAATTGTGCAGGTGCGGTACACGGCTCCACTGCCCGTGATCGACTGCTGTTGTGACTCTTCGACAGCTCTGTCGCCCCCCTCTACATACAACTACTGTAGTACAGTACTGTAGTATGTGCCTGGGTGCTGGACCCTCGGATGCTCGAGCCATGAGGCGCGGTTTCGACAGGGTGGAGGCCATCCTCGTTTTGCCTGAGCTTGAGGCCATCCTGCCTTTCTGGCTTCGGAAAGCTGCACAACTCCAATAGCATTCGAGCTGCTGGAAACAGATCGCATCGCCTTCAAGGCTTGTGCGACATTCTTTAGCCAAGATAGGACCATCAGTGTGGCCAAGGACTCTGAACGGCGAAACGCAGACAGGCGAGTTCTTTGCGGCGGTCATGTAGATCCGATCCTGTGTCGCTACAATAAATGGGCAGACTGCAATCACATCGCGTCGTTCAACGACATAATCGAAAAGAAAAAGAAAAAGAAAAAGAAAAAGAAAAAGAAAAAGAAAAAGAAAAAGAAAAAGAAAAAGAAAAAGAAAAAGAAAAAGAAAAAGAAAAAGAAAAAGAAAAGTGCACTAGTGTCACTCAGGGAGCAAAAGACACAGAAAAGGCGAGTGAGGAAAGAACACCAACGGACACGCTCACAAAGCCGGCACAGGGGCAGTACACTACGGTACCGTACTCCGTTCTGTAAATTACTGTCCCGTCATTCCGGCCCACCCACCGACTTCGGGTCCAGGAACATCATCAACCAAGCAAGCTGGCTGCCTGCCTGCCGGAAGAAGGTCGTGTGCACTGTCCCTTGGCCATCTCCACTCCACTCGCATCCAGCTCTTTCTTTTCTAAGTCGTCACAGCTTCTCTGCGCCTTCCTCTTCAGCATCAACGACGGCACGCTGACTACACTCGACGTTGTCTCTGTTCTCAGGAATCACGTCTCTCGTACTAACGGTCACCTCAGCCAAGCTGTCGTCTGCGGCCTTTGCGTGCGACCGTGCTCACATCCGAGGCAGCCAGGTTGCACGACTCTACCAGAACAGCACGAAGATACATTCGAGTGGGGAGCCATCACAGCTTCCTTCATAAGCCGCTCAAAGCGTCGCCGCTTGGCCAATAATCACATTTCGCCACCGCTCCGCTGCTGGACTTTGACTATCACCAATGATCCCGACTAGGCGTTTGTGAAGGACTCTACTCACGCTCCCACCAGTCAGGTATCGGCAACCTCCGACAGTCGCTAACGCTCTATCAGACAACCTAGCCTTTCCTTGTCTCCCGACGTCAGCGCTCAGTTCTGCATTGCAATCTGGCAATCTGGCAATCTGGCAATCTGGCAATCATGGCAGCTGCTGCACCGTCCGACACGGATGCGCTTGGCCTGCTGAGCGCAGCGCTCAACTCGGCAAGCAAGGAGGATGAGTCGCAGCATCTCACGCAGCTGTACAGCTTGCTCAAGCGTCAGCCCGGCAACATTCCCATCCTCTTGCCCTCCCTCATCTCGCTGCTGCCAAAAGCCTCATCGTCCATTCGCACCTGGATCGCCGACGTCATGGACCTCGCCTTCTGCCGCCCTTCGCTCTCGCTCGATACTCGCAACACTCTTGCCATCCATGCTCCCGACGCAATTCTTCATCTCGTCCAGCAGAAGGATCCCAAGCTCGCCAAGATTGCTGTCCAGTGCTTCGCCAGCATGTATCCCGCCTTGTTTCGCCTCGTGTGCAACGATCGCTCCAAGGCGCTGCTCTGGCAGACCGTTCAGTCCATCAAGGCCCAGATCGTCTACCTCTTCGACAGTGGCAGCCGTGGCGTTCGTGTCTCGGCGGTCAAGGGCTACCAGCGCATCATCCAGGTGCAGTCCCGCAGCGGCACCGGCTCCTCCTCCTCGGATCCGCGTGCACAGCCCAAGGGCGACGTCAGCATCGCCATCCTGCCCTCAAGCCACCCATTCCTGCAAGCAGCGCAGCTCGAAGACGAAGCCAACCGCCTCTTTACCCAGCTCGTCACACTCGTCTTCACCAGCGACGTACCCGATCTGGTCATGGCTGCCGTCAACGCCCTCACCCTCATTGCCAAATCGAGGCCGCATCTCTGCACCATCATCCTGCGAGCCATGGCAAGCTGGACACCCGCCAGCCTCGGCAATCTCTCCCACACTCAGGTCCGCAACGTCGAAAAGACAATCCGCATCTTTTACATCCACTTCATCCGCAACCAGCTGGCCGGTGCCGAGATCGGCGCGCTCCAGAAGAGTCTCGAGGCCCAACAACGCAGGATGGAGGAAGCCGCCAAGGCCTATAACCAACAAAAGGAGGCCGAGGCAAAGCGCAAACGCCAGCAGATCGACCAGGAGCTCGAATCACCCAAGCGTATCAAGCTCGAACACGCGACCCAGGCCAGTGCACAGGCCACTGCAGCTGCTGCCGCAACCACCGCAGCCGGCTCCGCAAGCACGCAATCCGCCGGAGAAGCTTTCATGAACGCCTCGGTCCGCAGTGCCGGTGGCGTAGATGTCAACCCGCTGGCTGCCTTTGATGTCAAGACGCTACCGATCAATCTCGTCATTGATCTCATTCTGGCGAACCTGCAGGCGCTTTCTGAGACCGAGCTTCACGCCGCTATCGACCGCATGCGTCAAAGTCTTGGTCCCGACGCTGCATTTACGCAACAACCCGCTTCCCCTGCAGTCGCCGGTCCATCACAGCCGCATCAGCCACAACCAGCGCCCTCACCTGCTCTTGATCAGAATGGCTTCAATGCGGCGGTACGAGTCAAGGCAGAGGATGCGACGACGGAAGGAGATGGTGCTACTGCTGCAGCAAGTGCCGACGACGATGTGCCTCAAGATCCGCTCAAGATGGACATCGCCGAGGAGGAAGACTTTGACAAGCTCGCCGATTCTGCCGCGTTGGAAGGCACTCGGGAGAATTACGGCTCACGTCGCGATGACAATGATGGGCGCGACCAGGAAGAGGAAGAGGACGAGGATCTTTCGCTCGCCGTCATCGAGAATTTCGCGCTCGAGCCACCAGAATACCTGTCACTAAGCGAGAGCGATGCGCTTATCAAGGACACCATA